AGGTCACGTGTCCGCGGGGAGGCGGAGCCCGAGGAAGTTGGGAGGGGCGGGGGAGGAGACGCGGCTTGAATGCAGGGTGGCCGGTGGGCGAACACTCTGGTGGCAGCAACGCCCCCTAGAGGCCCGGGGTGGCTGCGTCTCTCTGCCCCTCGCCACAAAGAGCAGCTGCGGGAGGGCACGTGCCACGTCTCGTAGACGCCAGGCAGATACGGTGCGGGAGCCCCAGAGGCGAGAGCGTTCCAGGGCCAGCGCAGTCGCTGTCCCCGTTAGCCTGCCACCTTGTGCCCATGTAATCCTGCACCAAAGAAGCAGGCCCGTTGCCAGGCGCTTGCCCTGCAAGGGTTTTCGCTCTCGGGATTTGAAAGAGCCCCTCCAATAAGCAGTGCCGGGGTCTCCCCCATGATAGGAAAGGTGGGGACCAGGGGGAAGTAATATCTTTTCTTGGACCAACTTCTGTTGGTGAGAGATAAAGAGAGAAAGATATTACCTCACAGTCCTCACCTACCCTCAGCAACTTAGGTTGGCTCAAGGGCTAAGTAATGACAGGATACTGTGGGTACCCTGTGCATAGAAATTGCATTAAAGCCCCTGATAACTTTCCCATAGGACCTTTGCAGCTTACATCCATTTGGGGTCCTTGCTGGCATCTTGCCAGAGCCTAAAGTCTGAAATCTGGGCCCTGGTCTACACTATGAGTTTAAGTCAAATTTAGCAGCGTTCGAGTGATTCAACCCTGCACCCGTCCACACGACGAAGCCATTTTTGTCGACTTAAAGGGCTCTTTAAATCGATTTAGGTACTCCTCCCCAATGAGGGGATTAGCGCTGAAATCAACCTTGCTGGGTCGAATTTGGGGTAGTGTGGACGCAATTTGACGGTATTGGCCTCCGGGAGCTATCCCAGAGTGCTCCATTGTGACCGCTCCGATGCACTGGCCAGGTAGAAAGGAAAAGCCCCACGAACTTTTGAATTTCATTTCCTGTTTGGCCAGCGTGGCAAGCTGATCAGCACAGGTGACTATGGAGTCCCAGAATCGCAAAAGAGCTCCAGCATAGACTGAACAGGAGGTACTGGATCTGATTACTGTATGGGGAGACGAATCCGTGCTAGCTGAACTCCGTTCCAAAAGACGAAATGCCGGAATATTTGAAAAAATCTCCAAGGGCATGAAGGACAGAGGTTATAACAGGGACCCGCAGCAGTGCCATGTGAAACTTAAGGAGCTCAGGCAAGCCTACCAAAGAACCAGAGAGGCAAACGGCCACTCTGGGTCAGAGCCCCAGACATGTCGCTTCTATGATGAGCTGCATGCCATTCTAGGGGGTGCCCCTACAACTACCCCACCCCTGTGCTTCCCTCCTCCCCCACCCCTCCTGGGCTACCTTGGCAGTTATCCCCCCATTTGTGTGATGAATTAATAAAAGAATGCATGAATTTGAAACAACAATGACTTTATTGCCTCTGCAAGCGGAGATCAAAGTGGGGAGGGGAGGGCGGTTGGCTTACAGGGAAGTAGAGTGAACCAAGGGGGCGGGTTTTCATCAAGGAGAAACAAACAGAACTTTCACATCGTAGCCTGGCCAGTCATGAAACTGGTTTTCAAAGCTTCTCTGATGCACAGCGTGCCCTGCTGCGCTCTTCTAATCACGCTGGTGTCTGGCTGCATGTAATCAGCAGCCAGGCGATTTGCCTCAACCTCCCACCCCACCATAAACGTCTCTCCCTTACGCTCACTGATATTGTGGAGCACATAGCAAGCAGTAATAACGATGGGAATATTGGTTTCACTGAGGTCTAACCTAGTCAGTAAACTGTGCTAGCGAGCTTTTAAACGTCCAAAGGACACATTCTACCACCATTATGCAGTTGCTCAGCCTATAGTTGAACTGCTCCTTACTACTGTCCAGGCTTCATGAGCCATGGGAGCAAGGGGTAGGCTGGGGTAGGTGCAACTGTGCGGTGCTGCCGACTGGGAGAGCAGCCTGAGGCAGAAGCCTCCAGCTGGCATAATATTCCAGGCAGACAATCTCCATTAGATGAAACTTAAAGAAGGGAATGACCTGGAGTCATTCCCATTTTTGTCCAGGCACCCCCAACCGACCTCACCAAGGCCAGCCAGGAGCACCCATGTCTGCACAGGCACCCCTGACCAACCTAACCAAGGTCGGCCAGGAGCACCCACGGGATGATGACGACGGTTAGCAGTCGTATTGTACCATCTGCCGTCCGCAAGGCAAGGGGATGCTGCTGTGTAGCACTGCAGTACCACATCTGCCAGCAGCACCCAGGAGACATACGGTGACAGTGAGCTGAGCGGGTTCTATGCTTGCCGTGGTATGTCGTCTGCACGGGTAACCCAGGAAAAAAGGCGAGAAATGATTTTTTGCCGTTGCTTTCACTGAGGGAGGGGGGCCTGACGACATGTACCCAGAACCACCCGCAACAATGTTTTTGCCCCATCAGGCATTGGGAGCTCAACCCAGAATTCCAATGGGCGGCGGAGACTGCAGGAACTGCGGGATAGCTACCACAGTGCAACGCTACGAAAGTCGACGCTAGCCTCGATACTGTGGATGCACACCGCCGACTTAATGCGCTTAGTGGGGACACACACAATTGACTGTATCAAATCGATTTCTAAAAAATCGACTTCTACTAAATCGACCTAATTTTGTAGTGTAGACATACCCTGGGAGATAAGGCCGGCAGAGACAATAGATCCCAGCAAGGGTTGGTCCATCTTGACCTTTACATTTTTAAGGAACAAAAGACCACAAAAGAAATACACGAACTCACTATTCCCAGTTAGGGACAGATTTTTGTTCATTCCCTTTACATTGATTAACAATACAAATTGTTTATTGCTGCACTAGTCCAGAGTCCATATGGAAATAGCCTGTGTAACCTTTGGGTGGGCTAGAGCAGCGGTCTCCAAACTTTTTTGATCGCGCATCCCTATCAGTAAAAAATTTTTGAGCACGCACCCCCTGCCGCGCTGGCTCTACCATTTTTGCCAAAGAAAAAAAAAACCTGCTCGGACTCCCGCCCGAACTGCTGAAGCATTAAAAAAAAAAAAAAGGGCTCCTCCTGCCGTGCACCCCCAAGGATCCTCTTGCACGCACCCCACTTTGGAGACCACTGGGCTAGAGTTCACTTCATTGCCCTTCCCTAGAGCCTAAAAAACCCAGGTAGGGTTGCCAACTTTCTAATTGCACAAAACCAAACACCCTTGCCCCGCCTCCTGCCCCAAGGCCCTGCCCCTTCTATGAGGCCCCTCCCCCATTCACTCCATTCCCCCCTCCCTCTGTTACTTGCTTTCCCCCACTCTCACGGTGCTGGGGCAGTGGGTTGGGGGGCAGGAGAGGGTGTGGGGGGCAGGCTCTGAGAGGGAGTTTGGGTGTGGAAGGGAGCTCAGGGCTGCAGCAAGGGGGTTGGAGTGCAGGAGGGGGCTCCGGGCTGGGGCCAAGGGGTTTGGAGTGTGGGAGGGGGTTAGGGCTGGGGTGGGGGGGTGAGGTGTGCAGGCTCTGGCTGGGCAGCGCTTACCTCAGGCAGCTCCCACAAACAACCGGCATGTCCGGCTCCTAGGTTCAGGGGCAGCTCTGCGTGCTGCCCCTGCCTGCAGGCACTGCCCACGCAGCTCCCATTGGCCATGGTTCCTGGCCAATGGAAACTGCAGACAGGGCCGGCTCCAGCGTTTTTGCCACCCCAAGAAGCAGGGAAAAAAAAAAAAAAAAGCCGCGACCCGTGGCACTTCGGCGGCAGCTCTACCGCTGCCGCTTTATTTTTCGGCTGCAATTCGGCGGCGGGTCCTTCCCTCCGAGAGGGACTGAGGGACCCGCCACCGAAGAACCAGACGTGCCACCCCTCTCCATTGGCCGCCCCAAGCACCTGCTTGGTGTGCTGGTGCCTGGAGCCGGCCCTGACTGCAGAGTCGGTGCAGCGCGCAGAGACCCTCCTGGCTGCCACTGTGCCTAGGAGCCCAAGGGACATGCCAGTCACTTCTGGGAGTCGCATGGAGCCAAGGCAGGTAGGGAACCCAGAATTCAGTCTAAGGATTTTCAGCAAGGATTGCACAGGGAGGGTCAACCTCCCTCCCCACATTCAAATCCCCAAAAGAACAAATGGAATTTAATTAAATATCAACATTGTAAATCTTAAGATAAAGAAAAAAACAAATAACAACAATGTTTACAACGTATCATGGCTATTATCTTCAGTTTTACATAAACTTAAAGAAAACTAAATCTAAACAGGTCAGTCCTCACAAAAACACAGTGAGAAGAAACTCAGAGTTCCCAAAAGCTTTTGTTGAGCTCACTTGAGTCTCAGTTAGAGTCTTTGATCACCAAATCTATACAGTCTGCTGAGTCAAAAGCAACATCTTCCCTCCATTTGCTTGTAAGAATCTTCAGCTGGAATCCGTGCAGACACTTCCACTTCCTCTGCTGAAATCACTGTTAGCCAATCAGCTAACTGATTATCAACCACTCAGTTATGTATATAGATTTTTTTAAACACCCATTACAAGAAAATACAAAACTGAGAGTAGCAAAATATAAATGACTCTTTCCCCATTATCATACTTAAAGAGAAGTTGGTGAATCATACTAGTTGAGACAATTTAACTAAAACAGTTTGGCTAAAATCAAACAACATTCAAAGCAGACAATTAAAATAAAAGAAATGAATTTTTCCTCCAGGGCCGGCTCCAGGTTTTTTGCCCCACACAAACAAAAAAAAAAAAAAAAAAGGAGTGCCGCCCCAAGCACATGCTTGGAATGCTGGTGCCTAGAGCTGGCCCTGTTTCCCTCCCAATTTCCCCTTTTTATAATTAACATTGCCCATGCTTCCCTGTTGGAGGGTTAACAATAATCACTAACCTACTGCAAAATGCTTCAGAGTTAGGGACAAAAGCCTGCTTTCTACTCCTGGGTTCACTTCCATGTGGCCTTTTGCAAAGCAGCTGCCTTAACTGCTTGCCCTCATGGAGTCTGATCACAGCAACAGGGAACCTATTGGAGCATAACCAAAACTACCACACCCATGGCCTAAGTGACTACTCATTTTGGTGCCAGAAATGGGTGGTGTTTGGCAGACTTTGCCACTTTTTTTTTTCCGCCTTAAACAAGATTTTTCCCCGCCAAACAAGAAGGAGCCAACCAGACCACATTATCCTATGGATGCCCCAATGAGGGGGAGCCAAGCAGCACACACAATCATATTTTGAGTATCTGCACCATTTACTGTAAGCAGCATCTCATTCTTGCATTTCACATGAGCAGAGCTTTAAAGAGTACCACCACCCTTTTCTTTTTTTCAAATTTGACCTTTGACATTTGGGCTGGAATTTTAAAAGGACCAAAGGGGGCTGACAAGAGGGCAGAGCTGGTTGTTGAGTAACACTGAGGTGTTTCCTAGATGGTTCTTCATCCCTCACCCAGACAGATGGTCCTCAATCACATCCCACTTCCGCAAAAACAAGGGAAATTCACTGTCCAAGAAAGTTAACACAGAGCTAAGTTTGACTGGCAGTATCCCATACTCTTCCATGTAACCTTCTGAAAAACAGAAAAAACAGAGTTAAGGTAATGTCTCCAATACCATAGGGAGGATGTTAACCACACCCTTTGAGCACTGCCCTAATGAGTCCCTATGAGAAAAATAGAACTGTACTCTTCCCAAACATCAGGAGGGGGAGCATAAAAAGTGCATACCGATAATGTAGAGAAAAATCTTCACTAAGATAAAGTTCAAGTTTAGGTCAGGCTTAGTGAACATGAGGTAGCTACGCACCACATATACTCAATCTCTGCCTCCTCCAGACAAATCACCACAGACTTGCCAGATGTTAACAGTTATTCAGCCTTGTCCAAGGAATTTCCTCTGGGAAATCATCTTCCATTAGTCCTGGCTGAGCCTTTGTGGGTGCCAATAGCCTGCTACAACTCCCTAGGGCAATAGTGCAACAGATCATAGAGAGGGTGCAAGGCATTGTGTAAATGCCAGTGCAGTGTGGTGTTCAGGCGGACAATGAGAATATACAAATGAGTGCTAGAAAGGGGTGAAGCACTTTTAGTCCCCTATCTTCTTGACATACCCAGTGAAACATCAGCCTCTGGAGATGACAGTGACAGCCGTTCAAGTGCCCCTAAAACTCTACAGATATTTTAAAAACTTTTGTATTCATTCCTAGATATTAAATCCAGGAGAGGTCATTGTGACCATCTGTCTGGACCTCCTGCACACCACAGCCATGGGGGAAAAAATCCCTGCTTCTTTTAGCTACAGCTACTCCTAAAATGGCAGCGCCAGATCTGGCAGCTTGCAGCAACTAATGCTGAATCAATACAGTAACAGTGAGGGTCAATAGGAGTGTGTCAGGATACCAGGACATAGACAGTCTGACCTAGTTGTCAGGGGCAAAGCTCAGAACCCTAGTCACAGCCCAAATTCTAGGCTCAAGGGTCAAGACCAAGTATGAGCCAGGAATTGGAGCTGAAGATCACAACCAGAGTCAGAGAAGGCAAGAGCAGTCCTGATTCAGAGGCAGGAGTGAGACTGGGAAAGGACTGAAACAAGGCTGAGTGCAGGGCTTAGTGTGAGACAAGCATCCACAGGTATGTGCATTGAGCAGCAAGCCAGCTATCGCTGCTGCTAGGCTAAGAACCAGCTTGCTAGCTTCCTTACCCAATCAAGCAGAGCAGTCCATCAGGGAGCTTAGTTGACTTGCTAGGCCATCAGGAGACTGAGCAGGTGCAGCTGCGGGGCCTTACTCCTGACAGAGTATCTGAAGAGGAATGATGGTTTAGTATCATATATTACACAGCAGAACAAAATGGCAGATTTTATTAGGGCTATATCAAGTTTGGTTGGGGCCTTGGCCTACTGCCAATTCCAAGGGGCAGAGTTAAGGTTTTGTTGGGGTAGTGAGGGAGACATTACCTTTAACTCTGTGGCCTGGTCTACACTAGGCTTTTATGTCGAATTTAGCGCCGTTATATCGAATTAACCCTGCACCCGTCCACACCACGAAGCCATTTAGTTCGACATAGAGCCCTCCTTAAATCGATTTCTGTAATCCTCCACAACGAGAGGAGTAGCGCTAAATTCGAAATGGCCATATCGAATTAGGCTAGGTGTGGATGGAAATCGACGGTAATAGCTCCGGGAGCTATCCCACAGTGCACCACTCTGTTGACGCTC